TTGGGGAGGAATGAGTGGGAGTTTTTGAAAAGGAAATGGCTGGGAGAGGGTCCTGGGCATGTGGACGGCAGGAAGCAGAGGGCAGCCTTGATCCAACCCCCAGCCTCACAGTGAGAAGCAAAGCCCAGAGAGGGTGGGCGACTTTTCTGTGGCCTCACAGGATGCCTGGTGTCCAGACAAGAACCCTTCTCTCACACCCCACGCTTCTGGGGATGACGCCCGTGTTGGTGAGGGCAGGGTGTGGTTGGTGGAAAGCATGACGCTCACTCTCAGGCCTGCCCCTATGCACACTGATATTGGTGTGCTGGGCACGAGGGCAGGCAGAGGTGGGGCTGCTTCACCACACCCAGGACACTGCAGCCCAATGCCTACTCCTGCCATCACAGGGAGGCAGGTGTGTGTGTCAGAGGGGTCATCAGAGAGCCTTGCTCAGGCCTCGCCGCTAAGAAGCCCTTCAAGGAGAGGCAGCTTGGGTCCCACCCGCCAGGCCTGAGGACCGGCCTCTAGGTGACAAAGGCCTCAGAGCCACCAGCCCCCACACCAGGAGCTGCACTCCATGACCCACCACTCCTGAGCTGCAAGCTGTGCTCCCCGAAGCTTCCAACCCCACCAAACCTGGTGCACAGACCCATCTGCAGCCCCATCCCCAGATGTATACAGCCATGGCACCAGTCACCAGAAGGGACTGCAGAGTAGCTGGGGATGCTGCCTCCCCCAGGCAAGCAGAGAACAAGTCAGACCTTGGAAGGAGGGGCTGGGGCTGAGGGTGTGCCAAGGCAGGAAGGCCGGAGCTAGAAGTGGATGTTCTCCCTACTACACCGCCCTGCTTCTTCCCAGGAGCCTGAGATCATGGGGTCCTTCCTAGGCTCTACCGCATCTATAGGAGCACTAAGCAAACCTCACACTTGTCACCTGGCTCCCTCCTGGAATAACAGCTCGCGTCACGAACACCTAGGCAGCAGCCTAGGAGCCTTCCATGTGCCCCACACATGGCCACGGCTGGTCCTCACATGTAAGCATGACTCCCCCCATTTTAGAGAAGAGGAGAGGTTAAGAGACTTGCCCAAGGTCCCACAGCCAGTAGGGGGAGGGCTGAGCCCACCCAGTCTAGGTCTGTTTGCAGCTATGACCCACCCTATGGCCACGGCAGGCACCATCAGGATTCCAGGCAGGGGGCAGCAGTCCTGGTTCTCCAAGAATCCTGGCCCCTAGGTCCTCATCCCAGGGCTAGTGATGACATGGGCACTGATGAGCACCCTCCTGAGTGCTGAGCCTGTCAACAGTCTACACTGCAGCAGCCAAGAAACCCCGGAGTTAGCCTGTGTTCTCAGATGAGGGGATGAGGCTGGGGCGGGTCAGAACTTCACTGAGGGTACAGGATTGCTCGGTGGGATTGGGTGCACACGAACCTGCTATGCCTGAGGCCTGTCCTGTGACCCTCCCTGTGCTGCCCACAGATGCCACCCGAGGCCACGGTAGAAGTGTCTCCCCGAGCCCTGTTGCTCCCAGCGTCCCAGGCCCTGTCCCAAGCCGGCCATCACAGTGTCCCGTCACGGTGTCCTGGCTCCTGTCCCCAGAAGAGGGTCTCACAGGCCAGCCAAGCTCCTACCGTGCCCTGAGACCCTCCCAGGAAGGGGTTAAAGCAGAACAATGCACTCTGGCTCTGATAATTCCACTCCCTGACGCATGTCCCCAGAGAGCTCCCTAAATGACTCCCAGGGAGGGAGAGTGTGGGGGCTGGGCGGAGAATCAGGCCATTTCCTTTTGCCAGAGATTAACCTCTGGGCCAACAGTTAAGGGTTGTGGCTGTGGAGCTGCCTTTATGGCGCTGTTGCGTGCCAAGCAGAGTGTGGTGTGCCCGTCCTCACAGCCCCTACAAGGCAGCATCCTCTGCACGTGCTCGGGAGAGGAAATGGGCTGAGCCAACATGAGCTTATCCAGGGTCTCACGTTGACAAGTTTCTATGTTCAGTCCCCAAACTCTCAGCATATGGATCTGTGAAGCAGGGAATCCAGGGATCAGGAGCATGGATGCTCGTAGGACCCTGAGTCACCCATTCTGAAAGGAAAACATTTGGCTGGTGTGGTGGCTCAGGCCTGTGATCCCAGGACTTAGGAAGGCCAAGGCAGGAAGAGCACTTGTGGCTAGGAGTTCAAGACCAGCCTAGGCAACCATAGCAAGACCTCATCTCTTAAAAAAAAAAAAATTTAAAAATTAGCTGAGTAAGCCGGGCTCGGTGGCTCAGCCTATAATCCCAGCACTTTGGGAGGCTGAGGCGAGTGGATTGCCTGAGCCTGAGGGTTCAAGACCAGCCCTGGCAACTTGGCGAGACCTCATCTCTACAATAAATCAAAAATTAGCTAGGTGTGGTAGTGCACACCTGTAATTCCGGCTACTTGGAAGGCTGAGGTGGAAGGCTCACTGGAGCCCAGCAGGTCGACGCTGGGGTGGCCTTGAGCGTGCCACTGCACTCCAGCCTGGACAACGGAGTAAGACTCCAACTAAAAAAAAAAAATTAGCTGGGTATGGTGACACACACCTGTAGTTCCAGTTACTTGGGAGGCTGAGGCAGAAGGATCACTTGAGCCCAGGAGCTCAAGGCTGTGGTGAGTTGTGATCATGCCACTGCACTCCAGCTTGGGCAACAGAGTGAGACTCTAACACTTGAAGCTGAAGCCTCAAAGTATCTGCCTGTGGTGTCGCCAACCTGGTCACCTTTTCAGAACAGCATCTGAGCCCCTGGCATGGTAGGGGGCACTCCCAGCCTTCAGTCATCAGCTCAGATGTTCAGTAGACCCACCACGGAGACCTGCACACAAAGACAAGTCCCCTGGGAGACTGTCTTGGAGGGGTGATTGGCACAGCCCCTCCACAAGGGCCCCGAGGAGCAGAGGCTCAGGGGGTTCCTATCCCTTCCCAAAACTCTTCCAAAAACTCCTTCCAGGCACCGTCACCTATGGAGGAAGCCCAGGCAGGTAATCAACCTTGGCAGTTTCTAGGGACACCAGCCTGTGGAGTGCGAAAGTGTCCAGCCGTACACTGTCTGGCATTCGAGTCTCCCCCATGGGCCACTGCCTCGAGGTAGAGGCCATGTCATAGTACCAGGCCTAGAGGGAACCCCCAGATGTCTCCAGGACCCCAAAGGACTCACCCACAGCCCAGGTCTTACACTACCCTGTTGGGGGTGTCTAAGGAAACCGGGCGGCATCACCATTCACAGAAAAGCATGTTCACAGTGAGTGCTGCAGTGGCCACCAGGACTTTTCCTCCAACTCTGGCTGGTGGTGCTGGTGACGTGACCCGGTGGGTCATCCATCTCGGCAGGGACACCAGCATGGGGACCTGGGAGGTGTGAGGGCATGGGAGCATCTCCCCAGGAGCCACCTCTCGCCTCTCTCCCATCTGTAGATTGTCCGGGGTCCCGCCCATGGCTGGCTCCTCCCTCATACCCAGCCATCTGCTCCTAGGCAGCACCAGCCTCCCCAGACTGCCTGGAGGCCTGATGGAGGGTGGCTAAGCCAGGAGCAGTGTGTCTCAACATCCAGGGATGTCCCATGAGTCCCATGTGGGGGCCTGACCCACCTTCCTGACAACAAAAGGGCATCTTCAACCCTGAGCGGCTCTAGCCATAGACCCATCCGTCCCTCACCAGCCGCTAGGGAAACTACAAGTTCCCAGAGCCAGGAAGAAACACTACAACAATGGATGGAGGCACATGCCCCAGGGGAGGGGGGGCAAGGGGGGGATTTGGGGAATTGAGGAGGGCTTGGGGTATCAAGGGGGGTTAGGAGAGTCGGGGGTTGGAGAGGCAAGGGGGTTGGGGAGGTGAGGAGGTTGGGGAGGTGAGAGGGTTGGGGAGGTGAGGGGCTTGACTGCTACGGCCACAGCCCCGGTTCTATTGGTGCAGATCAGAGTCTCCTAAGGCTCAGTGTTCTCATCTGTGAAAAGGGGGGTGGTAACACCTGCCTCTTGCTCTCCAGGGCTATGGTGATGACACAGGGAGAATCCGTGCAGAGAGCATGGGTGCCCAGAAGGCAACAAAGACCTAAGAAGTTCACCTAGACTTGTGATCAGCAATGGTCAGAGCAGTCTCCAGAAGGGACAGCCCTTTCCAAAGCCGAGATATCCCTTCGTCAGAATGCTGTCCCCGCTCAAGAACAAAGCCTTCTCCGTCACCACCCACACCCGGCTCACCGACCCCAGGACACAGGAGAGTCGGGGTGGATGCAACACACTGCTGGTATGCACAGACCCACCCACAGGACTGCAGAGGTTCAGGGCAGTTACAGCTCAGTCACCGCCCTCACCCCACACCTGCTCAGTCTCTGCCTCCTACCCAGGAGAGCCTATGAGCTCCAGGGTGAGCAAGAGTGGGGTCATCACTGAAACAGTCCCCACATCATCCCATTGCATTTTTTAAAGCAAAGTGTTGACAACCTTCAGAACCTCATCACTGGTGTAGTGAGGCCTTATCCTACCCAAAGGTTTGAATTAATTCAAACATCTAATTAACAATTGCATGTAGCCAAAATTGCCCTTCAAAAATATCTTAAAATCTGGTCAGGCTCACACCTATAATTCTAGCACTCTGGGAGGCTTGAGCCCAGGAGTTCAAGACCAGCCTAGGCAACATAGTGAAACCCTGTCTCTACAAAAAAAAAAGAGAGAGTGAGAAAGAAAAACAATATTTTAAATCGCCCATGAAATGGGCAACTGCTTATCTTTAACCACAAGAGCCCTACTCAGTGGACAGGATGCTCGTATGACAGGCGTATGGAAACCAACACACACTGACCCAAGAATTCAACTCACATTCCAGTCAAAGGAGCCCAAGATGTCGTTCCCCCACCACACATCCCAGCCGTGCACTTTTCACACAGCCATGCTAAGGCTTTGTCGACCAGCGGCTAGGAAGGTGGGGTGCTCCCCAGCCCTCCCCTGGACTGCCCTTGGGTCCCCGTCCAGCTCCCACAAAAGGAAGGCAAGGACTGTCCACTTACTTGCAGCCTGGATGCGAGCCTTCCGGCTGACCACCAGCCCAAAGCGGTTCTGGGCCACACACTCATAGTCGCCCTCATCAGAAGGGCTGCCTCCCTGCTGCGGCCGGAAGCGACGGATCACCAGTGACCCATTGGCCAGCAAGGTGGCATGGGAACTCTCCAGTAGCTCCACCCCATTCTTCCTCCAGGTGATGTGCAGAGGGGGTGTCCCCTCTACCCTGCAGCACAGCACCACAGGCTGTCCAGGCACAGCCACGTCATCGTGGGGCTCCACGGCAAACGCCAGCTCAGCAGAGTGGGCAAGACCTGTACCAGGGAAGGGAAACGGAGGAAACAGAGCAGTCAGTGTGCCTGTGGTACTACGCAGAGCATTCTGTAGCCCAAGCACCATCCCAGTAGCAGCTGCCGGAGTCACCAGACCATCAGAGAGGCAGATAGTCTGCACCATTCCCTCCTTCACAGATAGGGAAGCTGAAGCCCAGGGGTGCTGAGCGACTTGCCCAGGGTCTCACAGTTAGTCATTGCAAATCTGGGTCCCCAAGTCACATCCGACTCCAACCCAGTGGCTGCCACTCCTGTGAGCGCCCTGAACATTGATGCCTCACAGCCTTTCAGAGTGTGACCAGAGGTGAAGTCCCCACGTGTCCTGGCCTCCCATTCTTCCAGTTTATACTTAGGAACAGCAAGGTGGCTTGTATCATAGAGGTGTATGATGCAATTGACAGTCTCAAAGGCACCATGGACAAGTAGAAGTTCTAAAGAAAGTTCAGGCAAGGTGGCTACACCTGTAATCCCAGCACTTTGGAAGGCCAGGGTGGGAGGATCACTTGAGCCTAGGAGTTCAAGACTGGTGTGGGTAACCTCTTCTCTACAAAAAATTAAAATAAAAAAAAGCTGGGCGTAGTGGTCCATGCCTGTAGTCCTAGCTACTTGGGAGGCTGAGGTGGGAGGATTGTCTGAGCCCAGGAGGTCAAGGCTGCAAAGAGCTGTGATCATGCCACTGCACTCCAGCTTGGGTGACAGAGTGTGACCCTAACTCAAAAAACAAAAAAAAACAAAAAGCAAGTTCTAGAGAAATACAGAGTGAAATAGTAATAAACCATGCTGGTTTTCGTTGTTGTTGAGTGGAGGGTCTCACTGTCACTCAGGCTAGAATGCAGTAGTGTGATCAAAGCTCACTGCATTCTCGACCTCCTGGGCTCAGGTGATCCTTCCACTTCAGCCTCCTGAGTAGCTAGGACTTCAAGCACACACCAGCACACCTGGTTAATTTTTTTGCTTTTTGTGAAGATGAAGTTTTGCTATGTTGCCCAGGCTGATCTTGAACTCCTGGGCCCAAGCACTCCTCCAGCCTTGGCCTCCCACTGCACCTGGCACATGCCGTTTTTTTTTAAGTCAGGGTTTAGTTCTGTCGCCCAGGCTGGAGTGCAGTGGTGCGTCAAAATTCACTGCAGTCTAGACCTCCTGGGCTCAAGCCATCCTCCTGCCTCAACCTCCGGAGTAGCTGGGACTGCAGGCACCAACAGAGCCTGGTTTATCACGCTTCTTTTTCCTGGCAAAACTACCAGAGGCCTGGCGGGTGCCAGGCAGGGAGCAAAGTGTGGAGCCTCCCACCCAGGGCACAGACTGGGCTGCGGCCCGTCCTCCTTCCCCTCGGATGCTCGGGCTGGTGTCCTTCCGTCTTTGTCACAGGGCGACACGAGGAGTAGGCCAGCCAACCAAGGTTTCCCAAAACTCAGGAAGGGGGGCTCCTGGAGCCCTTCCTCCCAGCCAGCCTCGAAGCTCCCGCGAAGAAAAGAAGCGGGCTGCACGAGGCGGCAGCAGGGAGGCGAGGGCGGAGGTTGGTCAGGGAATCCAAGCCCGCAGGAGGGACGAGTCCCCAAGCCCAGGCACGAGGCCAAGTCACCAACTTCTCCAGTAACTTCCAGACCAGTCATAACTGCACCGCGAAGGACGCGCCCACCGGGCAGACGCAGACCCTCCTCACGTACCCAAGAACGCCCCCTACTCTCCCAACCTTCCCTCCCCCCGGCAGAGCCCACGTTTAGCCTCTGGGCTCACCCTCCCTCAGCCCCTCCCATCCTCCGGTGCCGAGTCGCAGCCGCCTCGGCTCGTCCGCCCCGGGACGCCCTCAGGGTCGAGTTTCTCCGGGCCGCGGCGCTCCGCTCCTCGGGCGAGGACAGAGGAG